TTTTTTTTTTTTTCATTTTGGTCTTTAGGCTGTGGATCTGTTCTAAATGAAAAAGGTGAAGTAGAAATGGATGCCATTATCATGGATGGAAAAAACTTAGACTCTGGAGCAGTATCTGCGGTTAAATGTATAGCAAACCCAATAAAACTTGCTCGGCTTGTCATGGAAAAGGTATGCTGAATATGTACTTGAGCATGAAACATTTTTTCCCTTAAAATTTCATTGAGTATATTGATACACTTGAATGGTGGTATTTGTGTAGTGCTTTAAAGCAGGAAAGAAGGGAGAAATGGGTGGTAGTGTTTGGAAACTATGGTCGTGGCCATGAAGGACTTTTATTTTAAGGAGTTTTAAGAAGTATTTCTTAAAAATAGCATTCTAAGGAAACATAAGTTCTGCCATGCAGTGGGAAGCTGAAGGGGAAATTGGCCTACACATGCCTATCTCCTGTAGCTCCGCAGCTGGTGTTCAAGCTTTTAGGAGGTTTTTTGTTCATTTGTTTTTTGAAGAGCTTTTATGCTGTCACCGAGTCTTCCACTTGATCTTGCAAGATTAAAGTTGGATAATATACTGTTGACTTTGCAATGATATGGAACTGAATTAAATGACCCAGTAACACATTTGGCCATGTAACGCAGTCTTATGTTGCTTTAGGTAGCCTTCTCCATTGTGACCTAATCAGATGGTAGCCTTAGTGCAAAGTGGTCATCTTCCAGCAGTAGGCGATAACATTAGTGCTATGAGATGGTGACACATTTTCCAAGAGAATCAAACTTATCAGGGCAGCAAAATGATTATTACTTTACCTTCTTTGTAAAATCAATCCCACCTTACTCCACTAAAAAGGCCCTCTAATATCTGCCACCGCGGACTTCTCTCTTTTTGGATCAGGATTGAGTAGGTAATTTGTGTGATATGTACATCTGTTTTATTAGACTGTGACAGTGATCAAAAAGCTTGTACTGTCTTTGGAGTTTACATTTTTCATCCTGCTAGTGCAGCTGCCCCATTGTTAAAAAGGGTTCATATTTGCAAAAACACTTACTAACAAGGAGAATTTATGTTTCATTAACCTTTTGAAGTGACTTTTGAGGAAACAAAACCTCTTTTAGTGATCTGTAAAGATGACTGAAATTTAATTTGTCCTCAACAGACTCCAAAGAAGGTAGGAATTATTTTTGCACTTAACTGGAGGATAGTTCTGCTTTTAAAATCAGAACTTTTCATTAAAGTATTTAATATAAACACTTAAGTGAAATGTACGTCTACTAGAAAACAATGTTAAAACTTGTGATGAATAAGTTTTTTGTTCTTTCATATGGGTTTTATTCTGTCATTTAGCTAGAACAAATAAGTATAGGTGGTAGACAGCTTCACAAGACCAAATTTTTCAAAATTTGAGAATGTGAGTGGAAGGTTGGAGGAGAGGTGTCTTCTTCTAGCATGTTGGGGGGAATGTTATATTTTTTCTTTTTTTTCTTTTTGCCGATAACTTCTTTTCATGCCCATTGTTCAGTTCATATTCCAGAATCACTGATTTTGTTGTTGTTGTTGTCTTTGCTGTAACAAAGTCCCATTTAAGTCAACAAGAGTAAAGCCAAAACACCACTGTTGGTTTTTGAGAACATAACTTTCCAAAGTGTTTTTTCAAAACCAAAACAAAAAACCCTCTCCTTTGTCCTTCTTGTCTATTATAAAGTCTTTCTCATCATTGTCTGGTGCTTCTGTTGTTCAAAAATGTTGAGGCTAAATTTGAAAGGCAATCATAAAGTTCATCTGTACAGGACCAAATATAATGGTGTAGCCATCAAAACATGAAATTTCCTGATAAAGTGTATTACTCTTTGCCCAGATGAGAAAAAAATCTGTGTAGATGACAAAGTTCAAATGTAAATGTTGGCCTGAATTGCTTGATGTATCTTCAGGTGAGTTTCTGCTGCTTCTCCGTCAGGTATTGTAAATGGGAATACCAGCTGATGTTTCTCTTCTGTTCATCTTGGACAGGAATTTGGGGACACGAGCCTAGGCTATTTCAGAATGTATTTTGTTTTGGTTTACTGTGCATCATTAAAAATATTTTTAATTCTCTGACCCGGTGTAATAAGACTGTAGTTTTCCTAGAGTCCTAAGCATGTTAGGATGCTTATTTCCTAGTGGTTTTGAGATGCCTCCCACCTTTAAGGCATTTTGAAACGTGCAGCTCCCAAACCCACTCAAATCAACCACAGCTCCCCTCCCCACCTGCTTGTAGTTTTCTGTATTTCCCTGGCTGTTGTGGAACAGTGTGGGCTCCATCTGGTGGCCGGAGAAGCGCTTCTGGATCGCTGTTGGGCACATGTGTCCTGTGTGCCCTCCCGTTCTCGCTGGGCTCAAGCTTGTCCAAATGCACAGGGTAGAAGAAAGGAGGGCAGCAGAATAATTTCAATTCGTGATTTTCTATGCTATTGAACACGGCAGCCTCTGGAGATGGAAGGCTTTTAGTACGTTAACTAATTCAACAAATCCTTGAAACAATAGTTAAATTCCTGTTGAATTATTCCTGTTTGTAGTGAACAAAAATAGAACGATACATCAAAATGGCGCCTTTTTTTTCTTTTCTTTTTAAATGGGGTGTGTAATCCCCCTCACCTCCAACACTTCATTAGATGGTCATCTCGTGAACATCAGGGCACTGGTTCATTGGTATACGTAAACTGTGTATATGTTTTCCCCTACTATATCATCCAGCCCTTTACATTAGACAAAAGAGAATTTAGCTTAGAACATAGACTTCTCAAGGCAAAGACGTAAACTTTTGCTGCGCTCTGCACGCTGCCAGGATTATTAAATAAAGAACAGTGATGGTCTGAATTTCAGGCCAGCTGCAGAAATTTGGGGGATTTTCTTTTCCTTGTTTCCCATGAAATAAATTAACTAAACTTGCCAGGATTTGTTGTTTGTTAGTAAGGTCTCTGGAATATTTTTTTTTTTTGTCCTTTTGGATTACTGTGTATAAATGTGTCCCAGAAAAATTAGGCACTTAAGAAAGTTACTAAACATATTCATGAAACTGTCAAAGAAGGATGAAACAGAAAAATGTACTTTTGGGTTGTTTGGTAATGTTCTACCAGCTCTTTTGATTGACAAGATATATTGAAGAGGGGGAAAAAAAAATCAAATTCTCCTTAAGATATCTTCTTTTCAGGGTGGACTGCAAAAAAAAATTAAAAAAAAAACCACAAACACAAAAAACCCCCTGTCATAGAGCCTTATTCCTCTATATGCAAGTATTTCTTGCCCCTTGCAGAGGGGGTCAGTATTGCTCAAAGAAATTGGCTTTCAAGTCTAAGAACACTAGCTTTGTTAGAAATAGGTAGGTCTTTTATTGTCTGCTCACATCACTTAGCATGTAAGCCTGTTGTCCGCTCTTTCACATACACAGGGGACTTCTTCCTTGTAAGCCTTATTCTTGTTCCCTAAAGCAATACTCTCATGAATTGAAGACTTAACTTGTCAATAAAAAGGCATTTAAATTTTCAAAAATGTTTGATGTCAGGGCCACAACATCAGGAATGTTTCTAAAGTGCAGTCACATTTCCCGCTTCTGTAACTATCTGAAGTGGTTAGTGTAGAGGCTGTAACAGGCTTAAATAGAGATCGATGTCCGTGGTTTGGACATCGATCCAAACCTTTGAAAACCTTTGAAAGGTTTTCAACCTTTGAAAACAATGCAGTGCTATGGGTTGGTCATGGTAGTGCTTGCTTGTCATTGCTTTAGAAATCAACAGAAGTTGATGGTCTGCAACGTCTGAAAAATCTGAAGTTTTGAGACTGTAAATGTCCTGCAGAATGCAGTGTGATGCAGAAGTACCCAACCTCTGGTGTCCTCGCTTCAGGCTGAGCCAAGTTATTTGCCCCTACAAGGCTCTGCAGGCCTGCTGCCTCCAGCATCACGGGGTTCTGCTGTTTGGACCTCAGCCGGTACCTGCGTGCTGGGCTGCTGCATGGACGTAAGAGCTTGCTTGAAGTTAGGTGCTGTGCTCTGAAATGGCTCCACGCTATATCGTCAGACCACCGCTCCTCTGAAACCTTCCTAGGCTCTGATGAGCAATTAACAGCTGTGTAGCAGTCCAACAAGTTGATGCTTATTTTTGGACACAGATTTAAAAAAACAAAAAATTAATCATATTTTAGAGCTCCTACTAAAGTATAAGGATTAATGAAACAAATTTATCTGGCAAGTTTCTCTAAAATATGAATTAACCGAGCTGTACAGACTTTGAAGCATGGATGGAACTAAGATTGTGGACTTAAAATCTGGTCTAAGTGCTTTGCTAAATAAAGGAATCAAAATAGAGCTTCTGCAAATGTTGCTAGAGAGCAAAGATTTTTTGGTCAAACCCATTAGAACAGTATTCTGTTCTTAAATTTGAAATTCTGGGTCTATAAGATTAGCAGCTAGTTGAAAGAAATATTTAAAATAAAATGATTCACTAAAGAAACACTTTATGATATTTACATTTTTTTGTTATTTTACAAGGTATAATGCCTTCAAACAGAACAGGAATTTGTTTAACATTATTTCCTTCTCAGTAAAATCCTTCTAGATCTCTTAGTTAACTGGAGAAGACTGTTAGTTAATTAGTGATTTGGTGACTGACTGGAAACAGTACAAAGAAGTTGCATGCAAATTAGTAAAAGAGCAGATTTACCAATTTTTCTTCTCCCATTGTAGTAAGTATTAAATAGATAAATACAATTCTTTTCTACTAGCGATGAAAGTCTTTGTTTTGGAGAGATGAAATTTTTTTCAGCTAGTGGAAGAGGATATAGGCATAGAAATCTAGAAAGTTTAGAAATAAAACAAAATTTTGAGTTTTCTTCACATGGATACTTCTAAAAACGAGTGCTTGTACAAAACTGCTCAGTACAAGGCAAAACAAGAATAGTCAATGTATCTTTTGTCTGTCTTCTGTAGACAAAGCACATGCTGCTGACTGACCACGGTGCACACCTGTTTGCTCAGGCCATGGGTATTCCTGCGACTCCAGGGGAGAATCTCATAACCGAGAGATCCCGGGAGAGATGGAAGAAGAACCTTGAGCCAGATTCCAACCCTGAAGAGTTTCAGAAGTAGGGGTTTTTCTAAAATATTTTTTATTTTTAAAGTCGGGTAATTTAATTTGTGCTATCAGTTCAGAAGAAAAACAAAAACCCAAAAAAACCCCATCCAAACAAAGCTTGAAGGCCTGTATTCAGACTTGAGAATACTTTAGTTCCGAGTGTTACATGGTTTCATACAGTCTTCACAGTGTGTCCTCAGTGAAAGTAATAAAAAAATCAAGCTTTCAGTGAATTTGCTCAAGTGTAAGTGACTGGAACAAACTTGAACAAACTTACTGATGCTTAAGAAGATTGTCGGTCACCTTGACATAGCATAGGTTTTGTGGCATTAACAGAGGACAAAGTTAGAACTTGTTACTGCTCTTAAAATCACCAGGTATAGAAGTGCATAGAGCAGCTTTTAACAAACAGCAGGCATCACTTTGTATAGTTCTTTTCCATGGAGGAACTGTGATATTAAAAAATCTCCAGTCCATATTTTAAAACAAGTCCATGAAAATAAAAAATCTGGTCTTGGTTAAGTAGATGATCAGATTTGTCTTTAAACTGGGTTAGATAGTTAACCAACATCAAATTTTGAGCAGTAACTCCTCCTGTGTGCTGGTTGTGGCTGTTGATTTTGTAGAGAGGAATGAAAAAATTGACCAAGAAGTTCAGTGTAGTGGTGATCTCTCAAAGGAGATGCTACTAGATCGTATTGCACAACAGCAAAATGAAAGTCACTTGAAAAATAAGCAAATTTCATATGAATTAGAGAGAAGGGTAAGGTGGACGGGAAAGGAAGGAAAATTATCAGGTGTCAAAAATGTGTTTTTATGCCTGTGAGGTAGGCATAAATACTAAATTGTTTTGAGCTTCCATTTGTGTGTCAATGGTTGTGGCATAGGAAAACACCGAATTACATTACATAAATGCTGTATTACATGTTGTTCGTCTGTTCTGTAAAATAGTATTAATGTGAGAAGCAGAGCTGAAGAATTTGTAGATCAAAAGGAGGAAATTTATTCTGTGGGCACGTTAATTAAAGTCCTTGAAGTGAGGCTATAAACTACAAGTTCCGTGTTACATTCAGTAAATTGGTAGAAGGAAAAACAAATTCATGAGGCAAGTGTAAATATGGTCACGTAAATAAAGTGAAGTTGTTCCTTGACCATAAGGTCTCAGTCGTAGTTCATCTTGTATCCAACACAAGTTTTCTTTTGATCCATGGTCTATCCAAGGACCGTGTGGTATTATAATTCATTATGAAGAATTTCGAGGATAGCATAGCCCCTCTTGCCTGCCACTTGGTCTTCTGAATATAGAAGCTGGAATGGCATGGCATCTGAGTCTCCATTCATTCTTTATAACTGCTTAATTTTTTTTTTTCTTAGAACAGTGTTAGGTACCTTCAATTTCAACATTGCCTTGTTCTGGAATATCTGTTAATAGAAGGCTTGTGTATTTCTGAAGGGCTCAAGACTTTCTTGTCTTATCCACACTGTTCTTTTTCTGACAACCAGTGCCTGAAACATCAGCACAAATTCACAAAGTTGAGAACAGGTCTTTTTTTTTTTTTTTTTTTTTCCCCCTGCAAGCCCATTTGTTCCTGTATCACATGTGGAAAGTTCTTTTCCCTGTTATGTCCACAGTGATTATGCAGAAACTTGCCTGAGGCGGACAGACAGAAGGTGAAATAATATTAGTCAGAGGCAACATAATACCAATACCAGCTCATAATGGGAATTTGGTGTGGACTTTACTTCCAGTCCTCTGGTCCTAACAATGTTGGGGTTCACAGCTTTCCAAGCAAAGTTTGGTGTCTCCAGAAGACAGACCTTTCTCTCCTGCTGGTTAGAAGCCTGCATTCGTTTATGCTAAAAGCTTATGATTCCATTGCACGTACAGCGTGGCGTCTTGTACATCTTTTGTTGAGAATAGGGTGTGGTTTGTTCCATCTTCAATCTCTCACTCCAACGATTCTAACCATACCTTTGTCAAGAATTTCTGGAGATTGCCTGAGAACCCCGCAGAAAGGGAGTTGGGTCCAGCCATAAGGTAGTAGATGGCCTACTACCCTCTCTGAATCCCAGTGCAGGAGTAACTCAAGGAGGTATTAATTAACAAGGACTCTGACAGCAGTCGACCGAAAACCCTACTGCTGATGCAGGGCTAAGAGACGAAATAGCAGGTGCCTTGTTAGTTGAATGGGGATAGAATAAGTACGTGTCACTTCATGGGTACTGAGTAATGAAAGATTTAGACAAAAGAGAATGAACAAATCCAGTGAATCCATTCCGTATCACAGTATATGCTGTACGTAAGAATAATTCTTGATTGAACAAAATCATTACTACTAATAGCATCCTCTGGTATACTACAGGTACTTGCTGAGGTTCTTGCTCCTGTCGCTAACTAACAATAGAGAGATGGTTATAGTACGTATCTCTACTTAGACAGTTTTGCCTGCCTTGGTAACATTTCTGAGTCAACTAGCTATGCAACAGATTGTTTATATCTTCTTTGCCTTTGTTCTGAAGATGAACAAAGAAAATACGTGACACTGAAGCGATAAAAAAATTTAAAGGAACAGTAAGAAATAGAGTGTAGTTGTCTATTTGCTGCATCGCAGATAAGGTATGTTGGACGCATTCACTTTGTTATTTATCACCAGTTGAGCTCTTTTACCAAAACAGATAGCTGCTGCTTGTGTCATCTGTGTACTTTCCTTATTCTCACAGTTGTTTAAGGTAAATACATACCTAGGAAAATGTACATCTGGATGCACCTTTCTTAATTTCTCAGGAGGATCTAACTTTAGCTGGTTGAAGGGTGCCACAGGAGTGTGCAAGGGAGCACTGAATTTACTAACACTCTCTTTAGCAAATCATTTTTAACAGATGGATGGGTGGGAAGCCCATCTGCACCATCATATCAGTTGGAGATGAGGTCCATTTCCACGTAAATGTCAGAGCAGTTTGTAGGGCCTGTGATTCATCAGTCAACTTTGAATTGCTGTGAATGAAGTGTAGGGACTGACAGTATGGTATTTTAGATAAGCAGGAGGGAACAGGAAGTTGGTTCTCTGAGAAATTGGCTGTGGGTTTCATAGTACACAAAGACTTCGTCTAACTTAATTAACTTAGATTTTGTGGGGCTATGGAGAGACCCTTACCAGTGCCCAGGCAACTTCCAGAGGTATTCCTCTTCCAGTCACCTGTTGGGCTGTTCCTTGAAGGATTGTTACAAATTGTTTTCCTGTGTGGAGGGATTTAGATTTTTTTGGTGTACCTCTCCTAGCCAGATACTGGTTTATATTCCTGTATGAATTGCCAAGATTGGAGTATGTGGACACTCAGACTGTTGCCTGTCAGTGATGTCTTGCTTCTCAGTGCAGCAGCTGTTGCAGTTAGTTACAATAGCCTTTTTTTCTCTCTGAGTATGAATGCATATGTGTATTTTAAGCAGTCTAATATATATGACTTTTCTGCGCTGAAGAAGTAAAGCAGTAGTTGAGACTTTTATTTTTTTCAGTGCATGAAGATTTTTAAGCTGATGTCCGGTTTCAACAGATTCTACTGGCCAAATGATTTGAACCTCAAGATTGCGTAGCTACAGAGTACAAAGATGAAAATAAGTATTAATGATGCATTGTGAACAATACTAGTTGAAAGGCACATAAATAACTTTTTTTTTTTTGTGGCATTCAAACATTTAGGGGAATAAGGAAGAGGAAAGAGGAGGAACAGGAAGGAAATGATTCAGTGCATACATAACATTACTGTCCTTTTCTGTCTTCACTCATTTATGTGCATTGTCATTAATAATTCCGGATAACCTCCTGTTGAGACAGCGGAGACAATTCTTGTGTCTTTGAGTTGCTGTTTAGGGGAAAGTTGTGTGTCAGGTGTGTCACAGCCAAAAAAACCACTCCAGAACTATGATGAATAGAAATATTTCTGCCCTGTGTGCTTTTGTTTTGTGGGTTTTTTCCTCCCCAAGTTGAAGTTTCCATCCTATGAAGGTAAACAAATCATGGGGGACAGATAAAATAGAATTGAATGTTTTCTACTCTATTAAATATGAAGCTATGAGAATTGTTGCATGTTGCTTGTTATTTTTGTAATGAGAAGCCTGGTAATAAATAGCTTTATGATGAGTAGTAATTTTTTTGCAGTAATATTTTTTAAAGCTACCTGGAAAATAAATGCAACATGCTTTGGCAGGTATGCTTTAATTCTACCTAATTTTGTGAACTGTTTTTCTTGGCAGAGACCTTGGAACAGTCGGTGCTGTTGCTATAGACAGTGAAGGAAATGTAGCTTGTGCAACATCCACTGGAGGACTCTCTAATAAACTGATTGGCCGTGTTGGTGACACAGCATGCATAGGTATCGGGTGTGGGGTCTTGCCTCTCATTTTTTGGAGGTGTATTATTTAAAGAAAGAAAAAAAAGAAAAGAAAAAAAAAAGTATTACACGTTTTCCTTTTCATTAGTGAAATGAAACATAAATACTGGTACACCTGAAATGGAGGTCTAACATTCAAATGTATCAAAGCTCAAGCTCCTTAACACAGCATGGAGATCACGAGTAAGGATTGGGAGTAGAGGTGTAGTGCTGTCCTTATTATCATCATCCAGCACTTTTCTGTGTGGAAAATGGGGATGGGAGTTTCTTTTTTCTGTCCTTTCCTGAATGCTAACATTTTTTTTCTGTGTTTCCTTTCTGTTCATTTTGATAAAGCTCTCCTTTTGTACAACCATGCTTGCAGCCAAGTAAAAAAATGTAGCCTGCTCCATACTAAGATGCTGTTTTCTTGATAGCTAAGGAAGGACATGTAATTGTAATTACTGTTCGTTATATCAGTGAGCCAGAATTGTAAAATGACTGGCAACTTCGAGCAAATTCCTGTTCTTAGAGAGCCCTGATAAGACTGCCTTGGAGCCTAATAGATGCAGTGTGGAATAAAGGAAATATTTTAAGAGATCTCTTAGCCAGGTATAAAGAGACACTTGAAATGCTTTCCCCAGACTTCTTCCTTTTGTGGGGCAGGCATGCCATTTGATTGCTTCAGAGTTCTACCATACAGTTGGGATTTGGAAAATAATTAATTTTAGTAAAACACGTTCCAAACTCAAATAGCACTGCTGTTGGCAGTACATGATTATTATAAAACTAATACTAATTTTTCTCTGGCACCCTAAGTTGCTAATACTTTGGTACCCTCTGCATTTTGACTATGATTTTCAGCTTCATTTCTGACTGCAAGTACCCTTCTCATATGTAGGTCATGTTCAGGGCTCCTATAGTGTGGGAGGTAGGGCTGTGAAGGACAAGTGAAACCGGGCACTGTTGAGCAGATTGCTTGCAACTTCTGCTCTTACTGGGTTTCTGCGGGATTGGATACAGAAATGCTAGCTGTCCTTTTAATATTAGAACCTTTTGAAAGGGGGCTTTGACAGACTGATTGTGGCAGAGTTTTTCCACGTGTAAACTGGGGTTCATTGAAAGGGTCTGATCTGATGAAGAAAGTACAGAAGGGAAGAAACTTGCATTGCTCTTCTATGCCTCTTTCCCCTCCCCCAGTACCTTGTGTATAATGCTGTGGTATGTCCCTTCCCAGCTCCTGGGAAATATTTTTCTTAGGAGATGTGCTAGAAACATGGGTGTTGAGCAAGCGGAAGCTTGGTGGAGAACAGGGTGTGGAATGTGTCGGCAAAACAAGGAGGGGAGGAAAAGAAAAAGCGGGGGGGAGTTCAACAGAAGAAACACGCTGCTTGTGGTGAGGACTTGCAAGATTCTTCAGGCGTGCTTCATGATGCTTCAGTAGAGCCCAGGCTCTTCAAATCTCTTACCTCATTTTGCTCTTGCAGATAAGTTCCCCTTAAACTTTGGTCAGTTCATCAGTGTCCTCACAAGATCTTCTTTCATATCTTCTCGATTGGTAATGCATGACCTGGCATTGTGCATCCCATCGCTATTTTGCTGATCCTCAATATACTGTCCCTTGCTGTTCTGGAAAATATTTTTGCCGATCCCTGTGAAGCGTTAGCCCGCTTCTGCTTCTTGTACCACCAACAGATCGCTAGTCTTCTAATGCTCTCAGACTGGCAACTGACTTCAGCTTCAGCCAGCTATTGCTCATCTCTTACACATATTTTACTTTTCAAACTGAGGCAGAAATAAGACAGAAGTTTGTTACTGACACTTTCCTCCCAGAAGTGCACAGAACTGCCAGACCTTCAGGAAGAAATGTTCGGTACCTGTTTTAAACAATGCAGAGCTTGTAAATTGTATGACAAAATATTGCCGCTTTTCTTTTTTTTTTTTTTTTTTCCCCTCTGAAAAGGAAGTGGAGGTTATGCTGATAACCGTTCTGGTGCCACTTCAACCACAGGACATGGGGAGAGCATTATGAAAGTGGTCTTAGCCCGACTGATCCTCTATCACATGGAGCAAGGTATATTCCAAACTTCCTGTAAGCTGAAATAATGAGGATAGGATATGTTACCCAATGACAGGTTTCAGTTTTTGTACTGTCACCCTGGAACAGTTGCCAGAAGAGTTGCTCCCAAGGGTATGTGGATGGATCACCTCTCTTGAAAAACAAAACAAAGTACTAAAGTATTATTAAAGCTGAAACAGCCTTAAGTGGACAGAAGTATCTATGCTGCTTGATGTTTAATCATGCTTTAGATCAATGTATGTTGAAAGACATTATTGTCTACTTTGTTCAACTGAAGTTCTCTTTAATAATTTTTTCCCAATTTTAAACTAAAATTTTGTGAACAAAGAAATAGAAAACAAGTAAAAGCAAGATATGTTTAAGGAAGCAGTAGAGGAGGGCTAGAGATAGGTAATCAGAGCTGAAATAAGAAAGCATAGAATACCACCTTTCTAATAAACTGTAAAGATCTTTATTTTAACAGCTCTGATTATAGCAACAGAAATGCTTTTAAGACGTTTTAACTATGATTTAAATTTTCATTTTGTTTTGGAAAATACACTGACTGGGTGGGTATGTGGTAAACAGCTGACACAGTATGTCTTACGTGACTGTAATGTAATCTGGCTGTGGGATGACCCTTTGGAGCTTTACCTTCATGAGTTAGTCTGCCAGCTAAACCCTTGATTATATTACAGCCTGTAAACATAGCCAGACAACATACTTGTACTGCATGCAGTTGAAGAACCATTAATACAGATATCACCATTATTTTTAGAAAGCCATAGCTTTTGGGCAGTACAATGTAACTTGCTTTGAGATCAACCGAACTGGAAATAGTTGGAAAACTTTCAGTTTACATTTTCATTGGAGAAGCAGTAAGTAGAGAGACAAGTAACAGCTGAGAATATTTTTGTTATGCTTTATAGAGCTGTTTGTGTATAACGGGTGCATTTCTCTGTAAATCTGTTGGCTAGTGCGATAGTTTCAGCATAAAATACAACCTACAGATTATTTCCCAAAGCTCTAACACATCATGGTCTCCCCTTACTCTCTATATTGTGTCCCTAACTATTCAATTTATGAATGGCTTTCTAAGCTCTGTTTAGTCTAAACTGCATAAACCAGTTTCTTCTCTGGCTTGAAGTTAACTGCATTGCAAAACCTACGCATTGGTAGCAGTTCTCTGGCTTGTGATAAATCAGGATGAAAGGCAAATGAGGCTTTGCTTAAAAAGTTTTTTTAAAAAAGAGAAAAAAGAAAAAAAGAAAATGAACTCACATTTGTGCATGTTTAATTGGTTTGCACTTGTTCACCCTGCCTGTGCTTGCTCTACCTTCATTCATCCTGCCCAGAAGTACAACTCAGCTGCCAGGAAAATACGTCAGCAATACACTCCCCCCCCCCCGCCCCCCCGTTTCCATGAAGGCACTCAAAACAAACCCTCAAGTTATTATAACTTTTTGAGTCCTTGAACGGTCAACTGAAGTTGCATATTTAAGAACAACTATAGAGCTCTTTCATAATTCAGTTCAGCTATTCAGTAATACACATAATAAATATCTTCTTTTGGACAAATGCTGCAAAATTCACTTTCATATTTTGGGAGTGAATTGCTTTGCCAGTCTTAACAGCTGTTGGAATCTCTGTCTTATGGTGGCAGCTGTTATCTTGATGAAAAATCAAACAGTGAAATACTGACCCTTTGAAGTCAGTGCCACTGGCTTGAATAGTCACAGTGTCCCCCATAACGTCAGAGAAGGGAGCTTTATCCTGTCAGTCACCAGTGCTGTGAATAATTCTGACTCTGCTGGTTTTGTTTGGTTTTAACTCAAAATTTGCAGGGAAGGCATGAAGGTCAGTTTTTGTTCTGCAACCTAAGCTGCATAACATTACCAATGGTATATATCTTAGAACAATAAGACCAAGCCAGCTGCATTCCTGAATATATACATTCAAACTTGTAGTGAACAAATATTCTGCAGCTATTACAGGCCTGTGTGCATGATGTACACATTAACTTTGATTTATTTAGAAAATATTCCCGTTAATAGGAACTAAGTGTAATGAAAAGATAAAGTTGCTCTGCAGGTCATTTCTCTGATGTCTAGGACATTGAGTCCTCATCTTGCCTGATACTTTCAGAAGTTTCAGGAAGAGTAATGCTGATGTCTGCTTTTGATAAATTATGACAATGTAAAGTACGTGCTTTGAGCTCCATTGCAGCCAGTGGACTTGGGACATAGATGATAACTGAAATTTTTTATTGTTTTAATGTGGTTTTTTTCAAACTGTAAATGCTTTAGACCTAGGTTGTGACAAACCTTTGATGGAAAGCTTGCAGATTGGCATTTTTCCCTTCAAATGATGGCATAAGAAATGTTGTGTCTTGAACATAGAGTTGATGAGTTAGTCTATATCAAATGCTGAAACTGAATTACAATCTGAAGCTATTTAAATCCTGTCTCTGTAGCAGCACCATACCATAGCAGTTACTAGCAACTGTCCAGAACCTTCTATAAACAGTTCCTTTGCTACACTGGAAATTTCTTGCTGATTTAGTTGAAGGAGGAATTAGATTTGGCTGGCTCTGTAGGGAGGGGTGAAACTTGAAGGGAATTTTAAAACTTAATTTCACAGTATCTGTCTTGAAATATCTTGTTCTTCTTTCAGGAATGTCACCAGAGATGGCTGCTGACACTGCATTAGACTACATGAAGACACGAGTTGGGGGCTTGGGGGGTGTCATTGTTGTTAACAATTCAGGAGAGTGGGCAGCAAGGTTCTCCACGAAGCAGATGTCCTGGGCTACTGTAAAGGATGACCAGCTGCATTACGGGATTTATGCTGGGGAGAGGCACACAAGATCTATTGATGAAGCACTTACATCTGAAAGCGAGGGATTCTGAGAAGGAATAAACATCGACTGAGGAAGAATGAAGGTCTCCAATTTTTGCTGGAGGACAATGACAGTTGATTTCATCTTTCTGAAAGATCTGTACTCTCCTCATTGGTTCACAGGCATTGCCACGTTTACAGTCAAAATGAAATCTGGATATAGTTCTTCAGTGGTCATGTATAGTGTTTATCAATACCTTCTGGAAGTCAGGAGATACTCCTTTTTGAGGTAAGAAAGAGAATGGTCAGTAGGTTTCTTGGTTAACATGCCTTGATCCTACGTTAAAGGGGTTCAGTATTAGAGGAGTATTAGAGGAACTAAGTATTAGAAGAACTCCTTTCCATGCCCATTCTCAGAGACTGCTGCCAGGATGATTTGAGAGATGAACACCTGTTAACTAAAAACTGAATTTTGAGAATTGCATCGCTCTCCAGAGTCTTTTGAGCAGTCATCCCATGATAACAAAGTGCTGTCGGTGAAATATCACCAAACAGCAGTGACGAGTTAAGACTACGTCATTGTCACAGGCTTGAGGTAACTGTCAGGTGAAATAATAATGAAGTAAAGAAAATAACTTTTCTCCAGAGATGGGAAATGTGATGCTTTCTAAGGAGTCCTGTTTTTTTCTATTCATTGGCGTCAGACCTGCAATTAAAAAACAGAGACCGCAACAAAGTTGGCTACAATATTTCGAAGTACATGTGGCTAGTTAACAGGAAGGGTATTACTGACTTAGTATCTGGGGTAGTAATAAAGAAGGTCATGATTTCAATAAATATAAATAAAACAGCAATCTTCACTACTCAAATACAAAGGTGATAGGCACCTTTTAAGTCTAAACATGAGACAGAGATGATGATTAACTGGAAAAATAATTATCTAAAATAAGTGATAAAAGCAAACTGTATTAAAACAAATAAAACTGCCTCTTAACAAGCTGCTTGTGAAGTCTGAAGTGTTTTTTGGAGATGTTTTCCTTTTAAAAAAGAATTGATGTTCTGCATTACCTCTAATACAGTTTCTTCCTTAAGATTTTGTGTTTTTAAAAGAAAGAGCAAAATTTGTTTTTCCTGTTTTCTGACTTAACTATATTAATTTTTTTGTGTTAAAACTCTGTAATAATTTTATGGATTTTAGCTGGTGACTAGGTTTCTTCTGCAGACAGATTTGTATGTTAAAATCGCATGCCATCATACTGTGGAATGTTCCCTTTACAGGACAACCCAAATAAACATAGCAGGAATCTTAAATCCTAGTTTGAAACTACTCATACCTGAGTCCCAACTACAATAAACCGTGTTATTGAGTTGGCTCCTGCAAAATGGTAAGGTTGCCAAGGCTATCTAACCTGCTCTCTCCTTTGGTCTGTGGTTTATTGGATGTTGCAGATGACTGGATGTGAACTGCGATGGTTCAAGAGTAGACTCTTGCAAAACCTAACCATGGAGTGCTTTTGTACTTTGTTGTTCCACAGGAGTTCAGGTAGAAAACAGCTGCTATCTGATCGTCAGAAGTTCATGAAACAGTAACTGTACTTAAGATGTGCTCATCTGTAGAGAGAAGTGGTCTTCTTCCCAGTAAAAATTAATTCATTTCCCCTTCTGTACATGAGATATCAATCTTACAGGGCTGGACTGTTCTCTGGGAAAAAAAGCAGTATTGTCTTAGCTTCACTTCCAGAGTATCAAGGCAATCAGATTTTTGTGGTCAAGGACCTGCTTTGTTTACCTCACCTGCCCCTAGAGCAAGATCAAATTCAGGACAGGCAATAGAAAATATGATCTCCACAAGTTCTGCCAAATTTCACTTTGCAGCATTGTTTTGATGAAATTGCTCAATGATTTCTGTAATGAGTAAGAACCAAACTTGGCAGATATTTTTTAGAGCTAAATGGTGATACATAGGCATGGATGTAGGCTGCACACAAGAGAAGCAGTATACAAATGTCTTGTCTTATGCCTGCTTCATCAGATTAAAGCCTCTGTAGAGGGCATGTTCCTAGTAACCATTCCTTTGCTTGAAGTAGCTGGAGGGAGGAGCCCACTCTTACTGCAACACCTGGTGTATCATCTTCGTCCAGCTCTGGCTGTGCTGTGTTTTCGGAGCAGACACAAGCCTGCTCTGGTCACCCTCCAAGTTGCCCAAAACCCAAGCGATGGTTAGTGTAGCAGCGAGCATCAGGTAACACACCTGCCGGGTGGTTTATTGGCTAGGGTTTGGCACTGTGCTCACCTGGATGGTTAGCTTTGAACAAGTTCACATCTGCCCAGAAGGTACCATCAACCACAGCAGTGGTACAGATATGATCTCAGGGCTGTCAGAAGGAATAGTAAATGGTTACTGTGGTTAATTCACCTCAGCTGTTCTAGGGAATATAATGTAATAAATTGTTGGCACTTAACAAAGCACATTATCCTATCTAGGTTCTTCTATCGCTCATCACCAGACTAGCTGGGCACCTTCCAACAGCGCATTAAGCAGCATGACTACCATCTGGTCTGCATGATTTGTTCTGTCTCACCCCCTCCTTGGTAGCGTGCTCTATCTTCCTTCCTTGTGAAAAAGGATCTGGTTTTCCAAAAGATGGTTGTGCTATTAGGCCTCTCGGGTTCACATGGGGCCAGGAATGAGGAACTGTGTTTTGCATACGGATTGATGACGTTCGATAATCCTTAGGCTGGAGTTTGCTCCACAGTTCGGATGACGGCAGCTCGGGCAAAGCACTAGTACCAGTGGTAGGGCTACATCCTTGTCTTCCAGCTAGCTGACCGAGTCAGCGCTCCTTGGAAACGCGTGTGAGCTCCTCACCTTGTTGGGACAGCAGGTAGACCTCTTCTAGGATGGTGTTCCCCCTGCCCATAAGAAGAGCGGATGATGGCAAACAGTCAGGGCTGGGGTAGACCTAACTTTCAAAGAAGCTGGAGAGCTGGGGATGAAACAGTTGTTCTCTTCTCTTTACCCTATCAGTCATGTTCTTCAGCTGGAACAGGATTTGTTACTGATGATGTAAGAAGTTGCTGGTGTTGCACAAGGCTACCTAATCTTTTAGTATGTCTACATGTCCTCAGACCTTTGTGAATATTGAGAAACTACCCTTTTGGGGGGCTTTAACATTTAACAGCTTTTATAAATGTACTTGAAAGATGCTGAACTTCAGGGGGATGCTAAGAGCAGGACGGGCAGTGGTGTGCCACTGCCGCATGCTGCTGCTGGAAAGGAGCCTTTCATCCAAATGGCTGTGACCTGGATATCAAAGAAGGAAAATTAGAGGTCTGTTGCCGAGAAACTGAGTGTCTTTGGCATGTAGCAAAGCAGCAACAGAGTTTTAATTATGTAATTGAAGTGTGGCATCCTGTTATTTTATATATCATTTAGAAAGCCAGCTGTGGTGGTTGTCCTGGAAAGGGTCCCTGACCCTAGCAGGTAGCCGCGATGGGCGTGCATATCAAAGCCAAGATATTAACAAAAGCAGCAGAGAGGTGATTGTTGACTTTGCTCATATATTGTTAGTTCTGTGTGGGTTTTCCATCTTAATCTTTGCGAGTTGTAAGTAATTAAAAATTGTTCTGTGGGACATCAGTGTTTGGAAATTTGGGTTTATTTTTTTTCAGTGTTCTACTTTGTCCTGCGTTTTAGCTCTGTGTCTCTCGGGTGGTTTTCATTGACTTTGAAATCTATCTTGGCAAAGTTTAATGGTACTGGCTGTTTTGCTTGTTTCTCTTCTGGTCTGCTTTTCCTTTGATATGCTCTGATAAATATTTACTGTGGGACAGATTTCAGTCTTGGTTACGTCAGTATAAATGAAAAGCACAGTCGCTGAAGTCGGTGATTACACTAGAGGAAGTGAAATCGGACATGGGCTCGCCTGTCCGAAGCCAGTAGCTCTGCGAGTATGGAAACAGCCTGTGCTAATGAGGGAGAGAAAAAAGAGAGGACGGAGAGCCTGCTGCGGGGAGTCACTGCGGGAGACGGGACTCTGGGCTCTGGCAGTGTCAGGGTGAAGATGATGCCCAGGGAAATAGTGAAATATGCAGGCTGGGAAATAAATAAGTGTCAAATGATCCACATAAAAGAATCTTAAGATCACACAGATAGAGCCAGCAAAGAGTAATTTTGGTTTAGATGTGGAAACCATGAAGGAGGGGAATCTGATTTTTCTTTCCACTGCACTCCTTACGCTCAGTTTATTGGGGGCACGTAGATACCCCGCAAACTTTGTGTAAAATGAGCTTTGCTAGACCTGGTCACACGTGCTTTAACTTCAATTATTTTTAACATTCTTACCTTTTGGCCTTTAACATTCTCCTTGGTTGGAGCGAGACCTGCTTTCTGGCAGTTCCTCCCTAGGTCCTTTTCCGCTGAGGACAGGATGGGTTACGATGTGGTCTGCGTGGGCTTTAACCCTCCAGCCCTGCACTTCTGGCCCTTTACTGCTAGGGCTTTACTACATCTTAAGCTATGTAAATGCACGGTAGCGTGCAGCTTATTAAATACTCAGCTGCTTCCAGACTTAATGGCTCTGCCGGGTCCTGCCGGCGTAGCGGCATAGCAGGCTGCCTGCTTAGCAACCCAGGCTGCCCTGAACGCATCACCCCCAGGCACCGCTTTCCCTGCTGCCTCCCCACCGAATGCACCGAAGATTTCCAGATTTTACTGATGCTACGCAAAACCTTGTCTAGGTTTGGGTGTAGCGACCACCTGCCAGCCACAGCCTGCACCAACAACTGTATTACAACAGTGTCACAAGGGCTGGCTAATATGGGAGAAAAAACCCAGGGCCATTAGAGGGGCTGGACTCATTTCTGCAAGTACTGATGACTGGAAAACGAATATACATACCAGGAAATATAGACTCTATTGTTTTAGCACTTGCTTTTTCTTAGCAATTTTGAAATGTCCACTCATAAGCAGTTTCTAGAATAATTCACAAACTGCTGCTGTTTTGGGCTGGAAAAGTGCAGAGTTCGCTGGGATGTGGGTACTCTCGTCCTCGATATGTGGAACGCATTTGCTTCATGGAAGAGGGATGCAGCCAGTATTTCTCTCCTTTTCTGTGTTATAGAAGATAATTTGTGGTGTTTTGTTGATTTTTTTTATTGTTTGTTTTTTAAAAGCTGAAAAAAGGT